AGAGGTGACGGTATACATCGAAGAATAGCGGTATTTTTAGTCAACGTAATATAGTTAAGCGAAGGATACGGAAGGAACGCGAAACTTGCAAAGCCATTACTTCACCTCTGTAAAACTCTGGTCATCGCCATTGCGGACTCATTTCTCGGTTTTTTATGATTTTTCAGCGTTTTCAGCTTTTTCTTTTAGGGTCAGTTGATTTAGAAGATTTTCTAGAAATTAGCATGCCTTTTGACCCTTCTACTGCGTCGTAATTCGCTACTTCACAGTTCAATCCTAACCCATCGCATTGGTGACAGATGACTCTATACTAAGAAAAATGAACGAAAAAGAAAAAGAATTTCAGCTAGAGGCTGCGAAACTAGCCGAATCTTTTTGCTTGAGCTCTTCTATAAGTTCTGACAGCTTTTTGCCGAAATACAGCGAAAACACCTATTCACATCTGGACGATATGGAGAAAGGTTGCTTATGTTTACATTCTGATCCAGCTCCAACGTACCCAGAAAATAACCTTAAAGAAGCGTCCGTAGACATGGCACGACAAAGCAGATACTTCGAATCATCAAGGAATTTCTTCATGTCAATATTGTGGTTGATTTTCTGGCCGGCAAAAATTTCGAGAATTCCTGAAGCACGACGCAGAGAAGAGAATGGAGCTGTCCGGCTTGGTTGGTGCTTTATTGGTTCAATCGTATTGGACTTTTTCTTTTCTTACTTTTTCCTTGTCCCCTTTATAAAGGAATCGATGAAAGAATATGTATGGTTATGGTTTCAGATTGCTGTAGCGATTGTTCTTGTCATCGCGGCTTTCTACATGTTCTTGTTTGTTTTTTCACGTAAGTGGAATGGTGGAATTTTAATTTGATATGTTTACTAATGGAGTACTTATAGTGTTGCTGGATTTTATTGCTTTAGTGCTTTCTTGGATTATTGCTGCTCTTGGTTTCAGGATGTCGTCGGAAAGAAACGACTCGACGGATGGTAACTGGATCCCACTAAACACTATGCCAGCAGGGTCTGAAAATCAATCCAACAATCGTAGTGATAATACTGCCGGACAACCATCATCTGAATGTTTTGAGCAACATTCAAGGACACGTCACAAACCGAGTCAGGCTAGGGATGCTGAAAGCACTGGAAACGAATCTCATGCTTGACCATTCTTATGATGATGTCCTGTCTTTTCATATATTCTCTATGCAGGCTTGTGTTTTCTTTTAATGTTTTATTTTGTTTCCTTCGTTTCCCGTTGTATTTATTTTTATCGAGCTTTTGCATATAAACACATTTCATAGGCCGTTGTTGTTGAAGCCCTATTGG